TCTATAGACTAAAGAGATAGGACAATTACAGTTAAATACTTCCCATCTAAGAGCGTAATTGCAGCAAAGAGTCATCAGGCGAAGGAACAAATATATATAACTAAGAAGCATAAATAGAGATATAAATAAAAAATATAATATAACAAAAATATAAAATGAATATTAATGCCAATTATATAATACTAATATAAAATTATAAAAGAGCATAAGAGAAAATAAAAAAATATATGAGATTGAGTCCAGAATCTATAAAATAGAATAAAGAACACATGTATATAAAATATTATAGTATAAAGATATGAATAAAAATAGAAGGTAAAAGTTATAATTAATAATATATCCACACACACAATTAAAAATATATAATAATGATGAAATATATACTTATAATATAGGAGATATATATTAGATATAAGAAGCAGATATATATATAGAGAGAGAGAATTAGAATAATAAGACAATAAATGAAGAGAGGAAGATCTACAAAATAGTATCAATACATAATATACATAAATAATACATTTTTTTAAGTAATCAATGACATCACAACCACAAAAATGCCATCATAGAAGACATGGAGAAGATGTTAGATTACAAAAAGATTAGAGAGAACGCTCAATATATGAAAAGCATGTCTATGTTAAGATCATACAGAGAGTGGCACCAATAAGATTAATAAAAACACAAAAGAATATATAACAATCAGAGAGAAAGAAAATAACATAAAGTATAAATAATAATACTATACCATAGATAATAATAAATACATAAAATAAAAAAGAAAGAACTACTAATTGATAGAGTGCATAAATAATAGGCACCATTAAACATGAAGACTGGCATAACCAAGAATCTAACAATATCACTATATAGTATAAATAATAGATAATATATAGGTACTTATACATAGAGAATAGGAAATATACAATTACTGTTTTATAGTATACGTCTTCTCTTATCATATTTCATATATTTTGATTGATTTAGCTGTTTAGTCACTTCTAAATAATGTACACATAACTATAGAGTGAAGAGCTATAGTAACAATATACTAAAAACAATATAGAATGATTTATAAGATATAATAAATATTTCATTATTTAAATACTACTAATTATAGAATGAATACTAAGAGAGAGAGATACAAGGAGAGATAGACATAATTGGCAAACATGAAGCATCCAAATATTGTCCAGTATAGAGAATCGTTTGAAGGTCAGAAATTTATCTCAAGAGAAATCAAATTAAGTCCTAAACCACTGATAGCATTTGGATATTTTCCTTGTACAGGATTATCTTGATAATGTATTCTCAGAAAAAAAAGGGTTATTTTTGTTTCAATACATATGTATATAAATTCTAGCTTGATTCTAGGATAATAGTGACACCACACTATCCCCATCTACTTTAATACTAGCTTTTTGTAATTAATGTTTGCTTAAAAACAAGCAGTGGAGTAAGTAAAAGAATTTGGAGAAAGCATGACAGTAATTAACATATTTTAAAACTAAACTTTTAAATACTGCCACCACTATCACTGAGAAAATGTTGTGATCTTTAGAAAGTACTCTTCACATTAGTATATTCCTTTATCTCTTGCTATTGTAATATTGAAGTATATTGAGGTATATTATTTGATTGAAAAGGAATGTGTGTTTATTATAAATATGCAAAAAAACCAGACATACATCACTACAAGCAAAGGTCTTGGTTCCTGTATATCCAACCTTATTCCCACTATAGAGTGATAAGCATTTTTAACAATTCAGTGTTTATTCTTTACTATGTTTTCTATGCCTATGTGACGAATATTGTGTTAGGAAAAACAAAGTGCTTTCTTTTTTTTTCCTCTGCTCTTACACCACATTCAATACAGAAGACTTACAGAAGACCTAGAGATAGTGTCAGGTTCTACAAATTGAGGGCTCATTCCCCAAGACTGTTCTCAGTTCAGATTCAGTTTCAAGTCCAGATCTGCAAGACTTCTGCTCCATTGGCCACAAATGGAGCCACCACACCTGCCTCAGCTCCTTATTGCATGTGGTACAAAATCAAAATGTTAAAGAACAATAAAAGTTAATCTTCTGTTCCCATCTTTGAAGACCTTTGTTTCTTTCTTGAATTAACAACTGTTGCACCTGTCTTATGTTTCTTCTCAGAAATAATCTAGATGTTAATAAGCATACCTAAATGATAGTATACTATATGTAATTTTTTCTTTTTGTTTCTTTTTAACTTTTTGGTGGCACTGGGGTTTGAACTCAGGACCTCATGCTTGCTAGACAGGTGCTCTTACTGCTTAAGCCACTCCACCAGCCCTTTTTTGTGATGGGTATTTTTCAGGATAGGGTCTTGGGAACTCTTTCCCCGGGTCTGGCTTTAAACCTCCACCCTCCTGATCTCTGTTGAGTAGCTAGGATTTACAGGTGTGAACCTCTGGCGCCTGGCCACCTTTTGATTCTTGTGCTACATAAATGGTAACATATATAACGTATGTTATATATAATGTCTATATTATAAATAGTAGTGAATTATCCAGTTTTCAGGGTGTTTTCATGTTATTTCTCATGTGTATATTTGGATGATTATTCCATTTCAGTCAGTCATGCAGATTCACAATTAGCTTAATCATAAGTTCCCAATCCTAATGGTGTGTTACATGCAGTAAATCAAAAGAGGATATGACAACTGGTATTGTGGCTCAACTGGTAGATTTTTGCCTAGCATGCACAGGCCCTGGGTTCAGTCCCCAATACTGCAAAAAAACAAAACAAAAAACCAGGATGTGAGGACCAAGAAGAACACCACCACAAAGTATATGAAACAATTATTACTAGAAATAAGACCATAGAGCATGGCATGGTGGTGCAGGCCTGTAATCCCAGCTACTTGGGAGGAGGGGGCAAGAGGATTGCACTTTTGACTGGCCTGGGAAAAGTTAGTGAGACTCTATTGCAAAAACAAAATACAACCAAAAGAGCTGAGGGGTCGCTCAAGTGGCAAAATGCTTGCCTAGCTTGTGTGAGGTCCTGGATTCAATCACCAGATCTGTTCCGCCACCCTCACCCCCACACAAAAAGGCCATGTCGCAGATGGTAAGAAGTGGGAAAATTCTTCTTTGAGTTGTGATAGACTTACTAATAAGTAGTGGTTCAGTAAATATAAGTGATATCTTCCTTACATGTAAAGAAGTTTGGGTGGAAAGAATGCTTAAAAGTGTTTTGCTAGCCAGGTATAATGGCTCAGCTCATAATCCCAGCTACTCGGGAAGTGGCGATCAGGAGGATCACAGTTTGACGCTAGCCCAGGCAAAAAAGTTAAGAGACCCCACATCTCAACCAATACACTTGTTATGGTAGTACAAGTCTGTCATTCCAGCTGCTCAGGAAGCTGGGATGGGCAAAAACAAGAAACCCTGTTCAAAAAATAACTAAAGCAGCTGGGCACCGGTGGCTCACATCTGTAATCCTGGCTACTCGGGAGGGAGAGAACAGGAGAATCGCAGATGAAACCAGCCCCGGGCAAATAGTTCATGAGACCATATCTCAAAAACAACCCTCATTAAAAAAAACAAAACAAAAAAAACCCAACCCCTCAAGTGGTCAGAGTGCCTGCCTAGCAAGCATGAGGCCCTGAGTTCTGCCAGAAAAAAAAAGGAACTAAAGCAAAAAGGGCTGGGAGCTTGGCTCAAGTGGCAGAGTACTTACTTACCAAGTATAAGACCCTGAATTCAAACACAGTACAAAAGAAAAAAAAGTAGAAAAACATAAAAGTGTTTTTCTAGTCTTTTCTGTGCATGGGAAGAGGCATAGAAGTGCCTTTGTCTGAAGATCAGGATATATTGGATTTTTTCCTTTTGGCAGTACTGGGAGTTGAACTTGTTCTTGCTAGGTAGGTGCTCTACCACTTGAGCCACACCCCCAGCCCTGAAGATCAAGATACAAAGATGAATAGAGCATTGCCTCATCTTCATGTTTGTTCATCAATTATAATTTTTAAAAGAGATCAAAACAATGTTTCATGGGGGTAGAAACTGTTCTATTTACTGTTGAGTTCAAAGAGTTCATCAGAGCATTTATTATTGTATTTGTTTAAGAAATAACTGATTCAAGTGGATAAAACCAAACAAAATTAATGGTTAGTTGGAAACTAAAATAACCCATTTCTGACCAATTGGTTAAAAAACATGATTTTACATGAAATGTTTAAGGAAGTGTATCTATTAAATGAAACCAAATTTATGTCTGCATTTTGTCTATATTCTAGAGATGTTAAGATCTGTGTGAACATCATGTATTATTGGTAGAAAAATCATTAATAACAGAGGTCACATTGTACAATCTGTATAACCAGTGTACCTTGATTTTATACTCTTAATTCTCTTGACTGTAGTTCTGCTTTTTTTATTTATCTGCTGCTTTTTAGTGAACCTTTAAGTACCTTTAGCTTAGCTATGCTATTGATACACCTTTTTAAAAATGGAATGTAATGTTCATATTTTGTAGAAAATGGCTCTCTCTACATAGTGATGGATTACTGTGAAGGAGGGGATCTGTTTAAACGAATAAATGCTCAGAAAGGCATTTTGTTTCAAGAGGACCAGGTAAGTTAGCTTAAGAGTTTGATTCCTATCACATTGTAAAGAAGTAACTCAGTTTGATTATTTATATATTTGTGCAGTTTAACTACCAATGCTAGTTGTAATTACTAGTGCAGACTAATATTATGTCCAATATCTTAGTAGCATTTCTGTTGAAGTAGCTATAACCTTTGGTCAGTTCCCCATGTCTAGTCTGTAATATGCTGTGTTGGATATTTTCCAGATAGGACTAGTTGCCTGGGCTGACCTCAAACTGCAGTCCTTCTGATTTCTTCCTCCTGAGTAGCTAGGATTATAGGCTTGAGCCACCAGTGCCTAACATTGGATTGGATTTTTAAAGACTACTACTTTTCATTCTATCCCACGGCCAGGAAACCAAGCCCAATTCATTCTTCACCAGCTTTTACCTGTAATATCCGTAAATTTGGGTGAATTTCTTGGAGGTCTCCTAATTTGCCAAGGTCCCTGGTTGCTAGGAAGTGAGCTTCCACTGATGATACTGGGTATGTCAAGTACCTGGCCACTTTCCTGGTGATACTATTTAGGGATTGGTTCCATGTGTATTTTTTAGTAGTGGGCTTAAAAAACCATCTTAAATAAGATACTCCAAGCATGGCCTTTGTTGTACAATACATCTTTTTCAATTATATTCTGCTAAAAAAGGAGTATAGATTCTTAATGAATTCATGAAAATAGCAATATTGTCCTGAAAAGTAAAACTATTTGTTTCTAAATTTTGGACATACCAATGAGAGTAAAATACCTTTCTAAATCTGTAAAAACATAATCAGAATTAAATACTAGTAATAGCTTAAAGAGAAAGGAATTCCTCATGTACTCATCAAATATAGAGCATTAAAAATTGTACCAATCAATTTCCAAAAAAGTATGCACAATTAGATTTCTTTTAATTCATTTCTTACATTCCTAGTCACTCTGCTGGGTCATAGGTCAAATAGTTTGCATTGGTGATATATGCCAGCTTCTGAACTAAAAAGTCTCAGAAATCCCAACTCAATCCATTGTCACATATTAGCTGTGTCAGCTCAGAAGCCTGTACCTGAGCCTGTTTTCTGAAGAATCAGCAGCTGATTGTTCTTCTGATAGTCCTTTATAGAAGCTTTCTGGAACACAAACAAAGAAGGCCTGTTTGATAATGAGACTGGAAGGCTATGGTTCATTTATTGTGGTAACTAATAATAGAGCAAAATTCTCTACCGGAGTAGGGCATGTAAGAGAGAAATCTTGTGGACTTTTCTGTAAGTTTCCTGAAATATATTAATATATAGCATTTTATCTACAAGAACTTGGCATGGGGAAGATAGAGCATCTTTTCTGATTTGGTAAGTCTTGTAGACACTTTTAGTAGTGTTGAGCTAAATAATATCTGTAGTAAGAAGTATTCTGAAATTGTAATTTTTTCATTTTTATAAATTTAGGATCTGATCTTGGGAAGACAAATAGTGTTTGGTTATCTGTTTAATCTAGGTGACAAAATAGTTTAAGATAAATATAGATGATATTAATATAAATTATAAGGATCCTTAGCTCTCATAGGTAAGGAATCTTCACTCAAAAACTAATAAATGGGGTCGGTCGTGGTGGTACACGCCTCTAATTGCAGCTACTTGGGAAGCAGAGGTGGGAGTATCTTGATTCAAGACCAGCCTAGAAAAAAGCATGAGACTTTACCTGTTAAAAAGAAAAGAGAGCTAGGGATATGGCTCAAGTGGTAGAGTGCTTGCCTACATAGTGCAAGTCTCTGAGTTCAAATCTTAGCACTGCTAAAACAACACCAACAAAAAAATAGGAAGAATAAATGACAAAATCAACCCAAAGCAGAGAAAATTATGCTGGTGGATATGAAATATCAGCTCTCTGAGAAGATTACACAGAATATAAATAATAAATAAGTTTACTTCTTGTTAGAAGCTAAGATCAGTTTACCATTCTATTAAAGAGAAAGCCAATTTCAGGTTTTTCCACTAAGTAACAGTCGCTCAGGCTTTTTGAAAAATAATGAATAAGGCTGGGCAAGATGTCTCTCTCCACCCAGATGTGGAGATTGAGAGGATCATGGTTAGAAGCCATATGCACAAAAAAATTAATTAATGAGACCAAATAGTGTGTGCCTGAGGTACCAGTTATGCAGGAGGCCATGGGTAGTGTTGCCGCAAAGCCTGTCCCCTGGCCTCAATGTCAATTCACAGATAATGAGAGCAGAGTTTTGAGAGAGGGGAAATAAGGTTTATTCATCAAGGAAGATGACAGGGAGAGCGAATCACACAAAGCTCTGTTGTTTCACTTCTGAGAGAAAATGTACGCTTTTTAAAGGGGAGTTCATGGACTCAGCTTGAATATGTGACAAAACTCATGTCCTACAATAGGTGCTGGATGTGGTTCTCCCAGTTTACTGCTGCCACTCCTTTGAAGCTGTATGTCTTGGTTGACAAGTTTACTCTTCATTGGTCAGAGAGAAGTGGGCAAAGGCTGCCTGGCTTAATTGAAGAGTTAAGAGTGTTAACCTTGGTCTCTCCAGCATGAAGAGCAAGAGAGAGACAAAGGGGAAAAATAATGACAGTTTGAATAACAAGCATAGCAACCTGACCAGCCCTGAGTTCAGATTCCAGAACTGCAAAAAGGAAAATTAATGAATCAACTTACCAAAACTGATTGTATTTTAGCAGAATCCTCACACATTTTATTGCATAAAGAAATACAAGTTTAGGAGTAGAAAGAGTGGAATATAGTAGTTTTAGTGCTCTGAGGCAATCTACAGTACTGAAAATAATATGTACACATAAAACTTATTTAGATAATCATGTGATAATTACTAGATGGTGTTTGGGCTGGCACAACATAATATTTGAATTTAAAATTCTTTTGTGCAAGTGAATGCTGTTTTACAAATAATGTTTTGTAAGTATTAATATGGAACTAATGTGTACATTAAGTAAAAAGGAGAAATTAGAATCAGTATTACAACTTAAGGTGTTTTCCATCTATGTACTCAAGCCCTAACATAGTATGAGTCTGAAATAAGATAGACAGAAAGACTGGGAATACAGCCAGCCATAAGACTACTCAGATCTGATCAAGCTATGCCTTCCTCCTCTACTTACACCTCTTCTGTTCAGCTTTGTTTATTATCTCCAGGAGAAGTTTGCATTCCTCTATGCTTTCTCAAGACTTATAGCATTAACTCTCTGGAATTACTGGTTTTCTTATTCATCTCTTTTTAAAAATATATATATATATTTTTTGTTTATATATATTTGGTCCTCTCTTCCCCCCCTTCCCCCTCCCCTCTTCTCCATTCATCTCTCTTAATGGTCTTTGATAATAGTCACCAGTAAGCGTGGTCTCGCAGCCAAATTCAGCTCACTGTCTTTGTAAATAAAGTTTTATTAGAGCACAGCTAAACTTACTTGCTTGCATATAAAGTATGATTGCTTTTGTACTACAATAAAAAAAGTTGAGTTGAGACAGATACCATATAGCCTGCAAAGTTTAAAACTATTTACTCTCTTATCCTTTACAGAATAGTCACAAGATAAAGACATAAATATGCTAACCCTTAATCTATGATTTTGTTTTTCTTCTTTCTAGAGATGGTCTTGTTCTGTAGCCCAGACTGGCTTTGAACTCTCAGCATAGCTGAGGCCTGCCTTGAACTCCATTGTCTTGCCTCAGCCTCTTTAGTGCCTGGATTCTAGGCATGGGTCATACACCCTGCTCTGAGTGCTTTCATTTCTTTTTTTCTTTACTGATTACTGTACATAATCTGGTACATTGTTGGGCTGAATGCATTTTTGTCAAATTAAAGAGTAAAAGATTGGGAAATGTATTCATGGAAGGACCTATGTGGGAAATAAGGCATGGTGATTTTTTTTTTTTTTTTTGGCAGTACGGGGGTTTGAACTCAGGGTCTCCCATTTGCTATGCAGACTCTATCACTTGAGCCACTCTGCCAATAGGCATGGTGATTTCTAAGATGAGGTTATTTCTGGTGGTAGATGCCATAGCAGTAGGACTCATCTAAGCTTTTTCATCTTCTTTTTATACTTTTCCTGACCCCCTCCCTGGCTGAGTACAGATCTCTTTTATAAAGTAGGCATTTCATTATAGGTATTTGTGATTATATTTCTACCGCTGTATGAAATTTGAAGTCAGAAAGCAGTTTTATTTTTCTACTTCATATACCTTATGTGGATATGGAAAGGAACTTTTAAAATTATGTGTTTCTCAGTAAACATCTATAAAACTGAACTGAGGATTTTTCATAAGGAAAAATATTTTAAAATTAACTTTAGATACCTTTGTTCTTTAAAAAAAAATACCGAAGAGAAGGATAATAGGTAAAACTTGTTAGTTTTTATTCCATCTTCTGCCAGTCCGCTTCCCTGAGGTAAACCTGTTTACTAGTTGGTACCTATCCTTTGGTTTACTTCCCTGTTCCTTCTTTCCTTCTCCACTCCCCCGTCAAGCATACACTCACTAATATACAATTATATGGAGTTCAGGTCTGTGATACAAACATACACTTTTTAAAAAGTTTAATACTGTGCATACTATTACATAACTTTGTTCAATTAACCGCATATAAGCACTATACATACAACTGCATCATTCTTTTTGATGACCGTGTAATATTTCTAGTATAGTGCTATCACAATATAGTTAATCAATTCCCATTTAGGTAGTTTATGTTTTTTAGTCTGACCAATAGTGCTACAACAAATGTGCTTATACACATATTTTAGAATTCTGATACTAGGTCTGTGGAATAAATTTGAAATTGCAATTGCTGCTTTAAATGCTATATGAACTAAAATTTATACATATTTTGCCAAATGTCTACAATTAACCTTATTACATATGGGGCATGAGAGGACTTATTTCCCCAAATTCTGTTCTAGACTGTCTATTATTTCAATTCAAATTAAAATTATACATTCAGTTATTTTTAATTTGAAAAGAAGTTTGCATTTTGCATGTTTATTGGCATTTTTCTCTTTTGTCATTTGCCCTTCCAGTCTTCATCTACTTGTTATTTTGATTGCCAATATTTTTCCTAGTGATATGGAAGAACTTTTGCATATTAGAGAATTAGCGGTCCATTGGTTATGTTGCAGTATTTTCTCAACTACTAAACTTGATTATGTATTTTACCATTCAGAGATGTTTAAGTTTTATGTAGTCCGCTTTGTCTTTATCTTATGACTTTTGATTTTTGTGTGTCATGTTTTGAAAGTCCTGCCTTAATCAAAGATTATAAAAAATGAAGCTATATTTTATCATTTTATGACTTAATCTTTTTATGTTTAAAAATGCCATCTATTTGGAATTATTTAGGTGTTAGGAGTGAGATAGAAATGAAGTGTTTTACTTTCAAATGGTCATCTCCAAAAAGGGTGATAAAGGTGGGGAGAGGAATAAGTCAGAGATGTCTTCCAAATTTCTAACCTGATTCTTTTCTTCCTGTGATTTTATTTATATCGAATAAAATGCAGGAAAAAATTCAAAACAAAGAAGTCATCCATGCCATGCTGTTGCAAAATGCAGGTTATATTTTTCACTCTTCCAGTTTCTTTCTGTTCTTATTTCGACTTAAAATATTTTAGTAGTAACTGACATTTCAGATTTAGTGGGTGTTCTGCACATTGTATTTGTCAGTTGTATTTGTCATCTACTTAATGTTAGCATCTACAAAATAGAATTGTAGGGCTGGCAGAGTAGCTCAGTCAGTAGAGCGCTTGCTAAGCAAGCGTGAGGCCCTGAGTTCAAACTCCAGTAATGTCAAAAAAAAAAAGAAAAAGAAAAAGAGTTACAGCCTGAAATTTTTTAATCTGATTTTTCTCCTTAGATTTTGGATTGGTTTGTACAAATATGTTTGGCCTTGAAACACGTACATGATAGAAAAATTCTTCATCGAGACATAAAATCACAGGTATGTTCATTCTGTCACTGATAACTTAAAAGTAGACAAGACATGGAGATTGTATTGTCTTGGTCCACAGACTATTAGCCTAGCCTGGTATACATGGAATTGTCTGTCTTCTGCCTTCACCCTTCCCCTTCAGTCAAATCCTGGAAACCCTCTACATCTGTGCCCTGTGTTAGATCTCCTGCTTACTTTTCGTGTCCTCCTGTTTTGATTTACCTCCTCCCTGTGACAGAACAAATTTAAATATGGATGTGTAGAAGGTACCTCTTTTATGACTTTGCATGTCTGAAGATGGCCTTATTCCATTCCTTTTTTTAAATGATAATTTGGTTATAAGGTTCTGGGTAGAAAATTGTTTTCCTACAGAATTTTGAATTTCGAATTTTTAAGCTATTGCTCAATTAATCTTCTGGCATCTAATGTTGCTGTTCACGAATTTAAAGCCATTATGACTTCTTAGCCTTGTTTCTTTTGCCTGGAATATTTTCTTTATTCCCATTGTTCTGCCATTTCACAGTGTTGTGTGTTGGTGAGACTCAGTTTTTGTTCATCCTGCTGTGCATTTTTATATGAGCATGTGTGTTTTCTCTGGAAATGTTCTATAAAATACTTAACATTATGTTTTCAAATATTTGTTCTCTGTTACCACTTTCATGGTCTGGGTTTTCTTTTAGACATACTTAGAGCTTCTTAATCTAGCACTTCAAGTGTCTTCTTTGTTCTTTCATATTTTTCTTATCTTTCACTGTCATGTATTAGGTGAGTTCCTCAACTCTAATTGAATTCCTGCCCCCCAAGTAACTAAAATCCCTTTTTCTCTTTTTCTTTCTTTCTTTCTTCTTCTTCTTTTTTTTTTTTTTTAATGGTGCCAGGGACCAAACCCAACACCTTGAGCATTCTAGGCAAGTACTCTGCCACTGAGCTGTACTTCCAGCCTCTAAATCCCTTTTAAATTTTCTGTAAACCAGTGCTTATCCATCTACTCACTTTTTTAATAATTGCAATGACTGTGTTTTTCTAAGAAAAATAATTTGTTTTCTAGTATATCTGTATTTCTCTTTTTTCTTTTTTTGTCAGGATTGGGGTTTGTACTCAGGGCATACCACTTGCCAAGCAGGTGCTCTCATGCTTCTTGCCTGGGCCAGCCTCAGACTATGATCCTTCTACCTATGCCTCTCATGTAACTGAGATTAAAGAAGTGAACCACCACTCCTGGCTTGTTTAATAAGATGGAGTCTCACTTTTTTTTTTTCTTTTCATGATGTTTGGGGGGTGAACTCAGGGCCTCTAGCTTGCTAGCTGAGCAAGTGCATTTTGTGACTGAGCCACACCCACGTCCCCAGCTCAGATCTTTGCATAGAGGTTTTAGAGCTGCTTGCTTCACTTGGGTCCTCTCACTCCCCAGAACGGAGATTACAGAGGGCCTTTAATTTTTCATATCAAGACCATTTGTCTGTCTTCTTCACTCCTTAGCCTTGTAGGTTCTTGTGTAGCCTAATAGCCTCAGGATGAATGGTGGAAGAAGGGGACCTTTGTGGGATCTTCCTAATCTATCTCTCCTAACTCCCGTCCTTTATCACTGACTCCCATTTCACTTCATCTTACTCCATCTCAGTCAGTCCCACTGTCATCTTGGCATTGAGCATGTGGTAAATGGTAGAAGTCTTATGACTGATACAGAGTTTAGTTCCCATTTACCACAGTATCCTGGCTTGCTATATTCCTAGCAGCACTGGAGCTCTGTATTTATGATCTTAAAGTCAGGTAACTTTAAGATTAACTTGTTATATTTAGGCTAGTTAGGATTATAGGCAGGCTTTTTCTGTGGGGGAGGGGTAGGCATAGGTAGTTGCAGATTGATCTTTCTAAAATTTTAATTGAGATGTATTTTAAGTGTACACTTTAATGCTTTTTAGCATATTCACTGTTGTGAAATTGTTACCAGTCTATAATTCCAGAACAGTTATTCCTTCAAAGAGAAACTGTCTATACCTAGTAGCACACACACTCATTCTCCTCCTAGACCCTGGCAGCCACTAATTTAACTTTCTAGCTCTCTGTATTTGTATTCTAGACATTTCATTTAAATGGAGCTCATATAATATGTTCTTTTGCCTATTTTAAACTTTGATTATTTGTCTTTTTGTTGATGAGTTGTAAGAGTTTTTTTTTCTGGATACAAGTCTCTTTTCAAATATGTGATAGGTAAATATTTTCTCCCATTCTTTGGTTGTCTGTCCATTTTCTTTTGTTGGTAATGGGGTTTAATCTCAGGGCCTCATGCTTACGAGGCAGGCACTCTACCACTTGAGCCACTCTGCCAGTCCTGTTTTGTGTTGGAGTTTTTTGTGGTTTTTTTTTTTTTTTTTTTTTTCTGAGATAGGGTCTCAAAAACTATTTGCTGGCTTTGATCCTCTATCCTCCTGGTCTCTGCTTCCTGAGTAGCTAGGATTGCCAGTGTGAGCCACCAGTGTCTGACCTGCTCTTTTCTTGATGGTGTCTTACAGGCACAAAAGTTTTTAGTTTTGATGAGTTCAGTTTATTTTGTTTGCTTGTGCTCTTGATGTCATATCTAAGAGACTGTTGCTTACCTAAGATTATAAAAATTTGCTTCCATGTTTTCCTCTGGAAACATAGTATTAGTTCTTAAATTCATAGTATTAGTTCTTAATTCATAGTATTAGTTCTTAAATTCAAATTTAGAATCCATTTTGAGTTAATTTTTGTACATGGTATGAGATAGAAGACATTTATTCTTTTGCATGTGGAAATCCAGTTATTCCAGCATTATTTTTTTGTTTGTTTTTGAAGTACTGAGTTTTGAACTCAAGGCCTCGTACTTGCTAGTCAGGTGCTCTAAAACTTGAGCCATGCTTCCAGCCAGCAATATTTGTAATGGGAAAAATATTGTTGAATCATACAGTGAACCAAACTGGCTATTTCTGGAATTTTCTTCTATCTTTTACAGAACATATTTCTAACCAAAGATGGGACAGTACAACTTGGAGATTTTGGAATTGCTAGAGTTCTTAATAGGTAACATACCAATTTTAAAGTTTGTTTTCATATGTATCAATCCATTATGATATATATGTCATAATTTACATATCTTAAGCTTCTCTGATAATTTTGTTGTTTCTGTTCTAGTACTGTAGAGTTGGCTCGAACTTGCATAGGGACCCCATACTACTTGTCACCTGAAATCTGTGAAAACAAACCTTATAATAATAAAAGGTATTTAAAATGATATTCATTATATGATATAGTTCTTTCAGATTTAATGTTAGCAAATTAATATTTTTCATGGTAATTAAAACAATATATTCCTTTTGTAGTATTTTTAAAGATCACAGTATTTTGCAAATAATTGAATAAAGCAGTATAAATTTTGCAAAATAACTAGAACATATATGAAAACATTTTATATCACTCTTTTAAATTTTAAATTTCTTTAATGAAATGCTTAGGCAATCATTATCGTTCTCATCTGGGACAGCTGCCTTTGTCATTTAGTGATGGTTAAAATTTTAAGTTTTTTTTTTTTTTCTCATTTTTCTTTTATTATTCATATGTGCATACAAGGCTTGGTTCATTTCTCCCCCCTGCTCCCACCCCCTCCCTTACCACCCACTCCACCCCCTCCCTCTCCCCCCACCAATACCCAGCAGAAACTATTTTGCCCTTATTTCTAATTTTGTTGTAGAGAGAGAATAAGCAATAATAGGAAGGAACAAGGGTTTTTGCTGGTTGAGATAAGGATAGCTATACAGGGCATTGACTCACATTGATTTCCTGTGCGTGGGTGTTACCTTCTAGGTTAATTCTTTTTGATCTAACCTTTTCTCTAGTACCTGTTCCCCTTTTCCTATTGGCCTCAGTTGCTTTAAGGTATCTGCTTTAGTTTCTCTGCATTAAGGGCAACAAATGCTAGCTAGTTTTTTAGGTGTCTTACCTATCCTCACCCCTCCCTTGTGTGCTCTCGCTTTTATCATGTGCTCATAGTCCAATCCCCTTGTTGTGTTTGCCCTTGATCTAATGTCCACATATGAGGGACAACATACGATTTTTGGTTTTTTGAGCCAGGCTAACCTCACTCAGAATGATGTTCTCCAATTCCATCCATTTACCAGCGAATGATAACATTTCGTTCTTCTTCATGGCTGCATAAAATTCCATTGTGTATAGATACCACATTTTCTTAATCCATTCGTCAGTGCTGGGGCATCTTGGCTGTTTCCATAACTTGGCTATTGTGAATAGTGCTGCAATAAACATGAATGTGCAGGTGCCTCTGGAGTAACAGTCTTTTGGGTATATCCCCAAGAGTGGTATTGCTGGATCAAATGGTAGATCGATGTCCAGCTTTTTAAGTAGCCTCCAAATAAAATTTTAAGTTTTAAAGAAAGTGTTATATGAGCATATATTCCAACACATTTCCATGCTCCTTATGTTTGCTTTAAGTGAAAAAATGTAAAGTACATTCTGATGCTCAGAAGAAATTTCTCATTTTTGTCTTCTCTAGTGACATTTGGGCTCTGGGGTGTGTCCTTTATGAGATGTGTACACTTAAACATGCAGTAAGTAGAAGATTCTGAAATGCTTTTTACTTGTGTCATCTTTCAGATGACCCTCATGGACTAGGAATTTTCTCTAAGTTCATTTTTAATTTTCTGTGTCTGAAGTACAAATCTAAGTTGATTTATCCGTAATATATTTACTGTATATTTCATACTTTTTTCTGAAAAATTATTTTAGATGTAAGAACCAAATTTTACACTCTTCTTAATATGGTTTCATTTACTATGGATTTGATGTTTTAACTTACAGTTTTACATTGGTTTCATTTTAGCATGTTCTTTCAAAACACCCAAATTAAGTTGGGTGTGGTGGTACATACCTGTAATCCCAAGTACTCAGGAGGCTGAGGTAGGAGGATCTCAAATTCAAGGCCATGTCAAGACTTTGTCTCAAAAAGAAAATTATTGAGTTTGTAATTGAGCAAAGTTCTTTAACTTTCAATGTACTCATCAAGGAATTTTTTTAAATTAAAAAAAACCCCTTAATTTAGAGTATTTATAGTTTGTACCTTTTTCTTTATTCTTCCTTTCTTTCTTTTTTCTTTTTTTAAGACAGGGTCTGAGCTAGGTAGCCCATTGACTTGGAACTCTCTGTGTAGCCTGGGCAGTTCTTCTAACTAGTAATGACTAAATATACTACTTGTTGTTTCCCTCTGTGTTTTATCATAGGTTAACTTGTCAAAGTGACTTTTGTTTTTTCTTCCCAAAACTTTATATTGTATAAGGTATTTCATGTCTATTTTTGTTTTTAATAGCTTTATACATTTGTACTGTTTTGCCTTAGACTTTCTTTTTCTTTTTTTTTTTTTTTGTGGTGCTGAGATTTGAACTCAGGGCTTCTTGCTTGCTAAGCAGGCCCTCTACCACTTGAGCTACTCCACCAGTCTTCTTTTTCCTTTTTAAGGAAAAAAGCAGAGACTGCTGATATATCTAGTTATCAGGTATATTTGTATTTAAAGGAATTGGTCAGTTTTTTTGTAAGGCCTTTTAGGTTTAAACCATGTTTGAGTAAGTCTTTCACTGATCTTGCCATTATTGCCTGTGAATTTTGGAATTGGTTACTGTTTTGTCTGTAGCCCAGCCTGGCCTCAAATTCCGGATTCTCCTTCCTTAGCCTCCTGAGTGCTGGGATTACAGGCATAAAGCCTGACCTTAGAATTGGTTACTATTAAGTGGACACATGAAACTAAATAATTCACCAACCTTTATTTATAAGGGTTTATGGGCTGATCGGTAAAGGAAAGTTCACTGGAGTAAAAGAGTAAGAGTCATATCTTTTATGCATTTAGGGTTCCTTTTCAGTGCACAGATATTTCTATAAGATTGAGTTTTTTCTAAATTTTTATAAACTGCATGATGTGTTTAAAATGTTCTAGGAAAGAGTAACATTTAGTAGAACTCTTGTAATTGATACACAGGAGTATAGTTTGCTTTGTTTTCTTTATGTGTATATTAAGAATTTATCATCATTATATAACTGTCCTGCTATTTTAGCAGATACAGCAAAGCTTAATTTTGCCCTCTTTCATGAAATCTTTAGCTTTTAAACTACCCCACCTTTATATTCTTTTTACATGACAGTTTATATTGTGCTTACTCCTAAAACATACATTCTCACTGCTGTGACTTGTATTCCAGTGTTTACCACATTGTTGACTCCAGAGCTTTGGGGAGCATCACACTCACAAAAGTAATAATAGTGAGCACTACCCAAGAGTAAAGTAGTTAGTAATTTTCTTTATTATGTTTTGCCCAAATGCTTTTAGTTCTATAGTTAATTTCTTATTCATTATAATAGAGGGACAGAAAGCCATGTCTTAAATGCAGACCACTAGGTTGTTTTTTTTTCCCCCACTTTGTGGTTCTTTGGCCCTAATTTTGCTGCATCTAAGGCAATAATCTTAACTATCTTGATTTATTATTATTGTTTATAAAATCTTTAATTAATACCTATATCTCATCTCCCCGCATGTTGAATAAGTAAAAATTACTCTTATAGTAAATTACAACACTTTATTTTTTAAGGACTAATGTTTTGTTTAAAATACATTTGTAGATAACCAAGGAAAGTTTGCTGTAGAGAGCATGTGCTAATTACACATTTGGAAGAGGGTTGTACTTCTATGTTAATAGGAAAAGAACTATTTTTTTTTTTGCTGATATTCTCAGATTCAATTTCTGTGTGTTTAATTTATTTTCTGGATTTTAGTTTGAAGCTGGCAATATGAAAAACCTGGTACTGAAGATAATATCTGGATCTTTTCCACCTGTGTCTTTGCATTATTCTTATGATCTCCGCAGTTTGGTCTCTCAGTTATTCAAAAGAAATCCTAGGGATAGACCATCAGTGAACTCCATATTGGAGAAAGGTTTTATAGCTAAACGCATTGAAAAGTTTCTCTCGCCTCAGGTATGTTTTATAATGTTATCATTAAAATTAAACAATAGCTTGTAGTGCTTCATTAAGACATGCCCTCCATTTTTGGGTCAAGCACATCAGAACCTTGGAGATATGATCTTTTCAAACTGTGTTGTTGTCACTTTACTTTCTATCTCACATAATTGTTCCCTTTTGCTTTTCCTCTGTCCCTTGTATTTCTACCTGTAAAACTACTTTCTGTGCTTTACTTTCCTCACTCTAAACTTCGGAATTATAAATGTATCTATATTATGAGATAGTTATGAGAATTAAAAGTGCTAATGCAGCTGAACACAGTGGCTCATGCCTGTAATTCCAGCTATTTGGGAGGCAGATATTAGGAAGATCCTGGTTCAAGGACAACTCAGGCAAAAAGGTAGCAACACTCCATCTCAACAAACAAGCTGAGTGTGATGGCACACACCTGTGATTCTAGCTGGACAGGAGGCATAAGTAAGATGATTTCTGTCCAAGACTGGCTCAAGTGGTAATGCACCTGCCTAGTGAGGATGAAGCCCTGAGTTCAAACCCCATTACCACAAAAAAAGTGGTAATGCACATAAAGTGCTTAATGTCTAACGTATGAGTGTTCAAAATATTCAATATATATTAAACACTAAAATTAGTTCATAATGTAACTGTATTAAATGATTATAACTCTATTTGACAGAAAATGATTGGAAACCTTATTCTGTGGGTATTTATATGTATGTGTGCTAGCTTGTTTTTTCTTTTTTGTGTGTGCTGGGGTTAGAGCTTTGGGCTTCTCACTTGCTCAGCAGATGCTTTACCACTCATGCCCCCGTCCTCATTGACTCGTGATGTTTCCTCTAGTACTCAGATACAGGTGTGTGGCACTTGTTGAGACAAATTTTAATTTGGTAGGTTTTATAAAACAATCTGTGTCAAATCAACTAGCATCAGTTATTTAGTGGTCACCTAAAGTTAGGGTTGTTTCACTTTTCATGTTTAGTGTGATCTTTTAAATTTAACCACCATTCAACTCTTCTGCAGGGCTGGAGGTATGGCTCAAGTAGTAAGGTGCTTGTCTGGCAAGTACAAGACCCTGAGTTCAAATCCCAGTCCATCAAAAAAAAAAAAAAACCAAGCAAACAACTCTTCTGCAAATAAGATACCTATCGAAATCATAATTGTATTACTTATATATCCTTTTGGCTTAATGGAACATTCATGTAAACAAGTACTCTTCGGAAAACAGAGATGTGGATTTAACTTTTAATACTAAAAGAATGCATTAGTAAGCAAGAAAGCCAATTAAAATTTGGAGGTTAAAGGTTACTTGTATAGAACATAATGACAATCTCTTAAATGTGGGTGTTTTACAAGACTTCTTTGTTAAAAATAACATTTGCAAGGACAGTTTTATGATGTAGAGTACTTTTGTTTTTTGGCAGCTACTAGAGTGAAAACAGTGGCTTCATTTAATCTTGCTCAAGTTTCTTTCCCTCCTCCTCCTCACATACAGGCAGCTAGGGCATAGACTCAAGGCTGAAGCACTGGAATTCAGCTAGCTAGCAATGAAAGGGAAAATACTGAAGCCTGAAATATGTAAAACTTATATGTAAAAGGGTAGTTATGTTTATTAACAGATGGAATATTTCAACCCTCCTTACTGCTATTTAAGCCCCACTTAGATTTCATTCTTCATGAAAACTTGCATCTTTTTATATATAGTAGATTTATTTTCTACTATATATTACTTGTTCAATATTCAGGTGAAAAGGTTTGTGATACATTTTTTAAGGCCATAACTTCAAAACAATTTATGAGCTCTATTTTAATATATGAACTATTGTTTCTAGTATCACCATAATGCTGTGTGTATTTTTCTTTTTCTTTTCTGTTTGTTTGTTTTCCCTCCCTCCTTTTGTCCTCCCTCCCTTCCTTCTTATATCGGTCTTGACAAAGTCTTTCTATGTAGCCCAGGTGGCCTCAAACAGGACAGTTTTAAAATTTTATTTGTTTATTTATTTTGACAGTACTGGGGTTTAAACCTCAGGGTCTTGCACTTGCTAGGCAATACTCTATTACTTGAACCTTACCTCCAGCCCACCAATATTTATTGTTGATACTTGTCAATGCTGTCAACCAAGATTGATAGGGTGTAGTTCTTTGTCTTGTACACCCTAACAACTTTTTCCTGGATGTGGCTTGAAAAAGCATGGATAAGCTCTGACTCATTAGGAATATCGGTACTGTGCACTAGAACACCCTGTGATGTTGGAAATGTTTCAAATCTGCGCTGTCCAATATTGTACCCTCTAGCCACATGCGATTACTGAACACTTGAAGTGTGGCTGATGTTCATGGGAAGCTGAGATTTAAATTATTGTTATTTTAAATCTTAATTCAAAATACCTACATATGGGTAGTGGCACAGCTGAGGGATTCCAGGAACTTGGAATTTACACACCTCTTCACTCAACTCACATAAGCATTCATGCTGGAGGAAAAAAAGAAAAAAGAAATTACTCAATTTTTTTGGCAAACTGGAGACTGTAAAATACCCATTTTCTTCCAAGAAAAAGAAAAGGGATGAAGAGGTCTGATAGAAATGAACCAGTGTAGGCTGCAATACTCATGTGCATGGAAGCAACGCTAGGAATCTTTCTGTATAGCTATCTTTATCTCAAACTAGCAAAAACAATACGTCTTTCTTATTTCCTCTTATGTTTTCTGGTCAACAAACTTGGAGCACAAGAGGGTGGAAAAGGCCTGGAAGGGTGGGGAGGGGAGGCAAGTGGCACAATGTATACACATGGAAGTAAATGTAAAAACGATAAAAGGAGAAAAAAAAAAAAAAACAAAAAACCCAGACCCTTCTGGCACCATTTGGAGGAGTACTAATTCTAGGTGGCTAGAATTTTTTACCCTGCATGACCAACCCCAGATTGGCTCAAATAAATTCTTTATTCTCATTAAAAAAAAAGAAAGGAAAGAAAAGGCAGAGGATGAATCTGTTTAGAAGAGAGAGCACGTTCACATCTTGATAAAAATTGCCTTTGAACCAGACTTTCACTTAGGTTTATCCTCTACTGCAGTGGTCCTCAAAACTCAGCACACATCGTCATCATCTGGAAGGCTTTACTAGGTTCAGCCACCACCATCTTTGTTTCAGTAACTCTGAGGTGGCAGATTTGCTTATTAAAGGCCAGGTGATACGGACACTGCTGTAGGGGATCCTTAACAGGAAAGATAGCCATCTCAGGTCCTGGTTTTTTGCTTATTAGGGCATCTAATCTACTGTATTATAGGAGTATTTCTTTCTACCAGGCCTCCCTTCTCCTGAACAAAGACAATTCACTTGCTTTTCCCTTCTCTACCCAGTAAAAAAAAAAAAAGGCAGGTTAAATTGAATTAAATCTTTGTTGCCATCAGTGTTCAGCTCTGAAAAAAATGGACTAAGAAGAGAAAATTACTTGCAGGAAATGTAAAGGATTTTTACTTCTCAAAATATGTATAACATGAATAATATGAATAAGTAATAGAGTGTTTATGATAGTGTTAAAAAGAGACTAAATTATGTAAGAATATTTATCCAATAACATGTTTACAATTATGTGTTAACTCATTGGAGATGCTATGATGAGTCAGCATAAAGTTAAAAGAACTTAAAGGTTTTTCTGAGTTTCTTTGGATAATGAAGTTCTGAAGTAATTGAGGAGTATGGGTACACATAGAGCATGGAGATTATTCCAGATATGTAGTTTTGTTAAATTGTTGAAATATGGAGCAAGCAAGCAGTATTTGGAGCCTAGGTTGTGCATCAGTTTAATTTCTAAAGAAAGCCTATCTGGAAAAGTAATAAAAATAAATTGGTAAAATTTGCACAGCTTACTTGGCAACATATTTATGACTGAAAAAGGAAAAGAATCATTGTGATTAATAGGTTTTTTATTTTAGAAATTTAATATCTTTTCTAATTTTGTATTTTCTTTCTCTTTCAATCTAAGCTTATTGCAGAAGAATTTTGTCTAAAAACATTTTCAAAGTTTGGAGCACAGCCTACACCAGGTAAATGAAATTTAATACAAGGCATTTCATCTGTTTGCAGTGCTTAAGTCTAAATATACTAGAAACATAGATAAAATATATTGAAATGGTTGTAGGCTAAACTTAATCTAAAGGAAATACACCTCAAATTGCTTGTTATATATGGCCCTATACTGAATTTTTTTGATAAATTAATAACACAATTTCTGTTTCTTGTCTGTCTTATTTAAATGAAATTTGGCTTAAATTTTATGTTTTTATCAAATGCTTAGTTAATATTTTAAGAATATTGCTATAGAATGCCCAGTTTACGTATAAATCTTTGTGTATTTTTCTTGAGAAATACTTCATATTCTAAAATTTTTTAAAGTAAATTGTGAGGTCAGGCATTTTATTAAGGATAGGTTTTATTTTATTTGCCTACTGGCATTAGAATATTTGTAGGATTTTGGATGTGTTTATGTATTATACACACATTTATGTGAGAGGGAAATAATTTTTTTTCCTGCATAAAATGAATGGATTTCTAAAATCACTAGAAGTTACATATTTTTAGACATAATGTTCCGTTTTGAGTTTGGATAAATTAACAAAAATATAACCTTACCATAAAAATTAGCCTGTATAAATAGGATTGTGTTCCCAGGAAAGCCAATTGCATTTAGCCCTTTTTTTTTTTTTTTTTGCAGTGCTAGGTATTGAACTTAGGGTCTCACACATGCCAGGCCAACTGCCACTGAGCTCTATTCCTAGCCCCATTTAGCCCTTTGAAGGTCTCTTTGGATCATTCTTACATTGTGCAGAGACTCTTGGTCCCCAACAAATCAACTCAGTCTAAATAAAATTCAAAAGCTACTGAGATATAGCAGCAGAGTCAGCATGATCTCTCTGGCAGGCAAGGTTCTTAAGAAATCAATCTTAAAAGCCAGAAATACTCAATGTTAGCTGACACATTCTTTTCACATCGATAAGCCTATGTAAGAATTAGAATGAGAGGAGTTATTCATTTGAATGAAATGTTCAGTAGTATGGGACTACAACAGGAGGGGTACTGCTTATATTTTGTGAACTCTAGCCCTTTACTTTAAAGCTTCATGCTAGGGGTACTCTTGACACTGAGCCTAAGAAGTGCTCAAAAATAAGAAATTCTCCCTTTTCTTTGAAATATGCATGGGGACTATTCATATATGTCCCTTAAGAGTCTTCATTTTTATGCTTTTGTGCCTCCAGCCCCTTTTCTGGCATATACAGTATTTCTTCTGTGGTTTTAATACAGTTAACCAAGTCACAATATTGTGACCTCATACAACTATGTTCTAAGTTTGATCATATGATTGAATTACCTCATTTGATCGAGGCTGATTTTCTCATACTTCCTAGTTTCTTACCTTTCCTTTCCCATGTCTCCCCATCACAATGCAGATGCAGGCACAAGTCCTGGCTGAGGTGAATATAGGGTGTTTACTTTACCTCCTCTTTCTATAGAATTGGTATGAGAGCACAGCCTGTGGTAAGCACCAGGGGCCCCAGTCCTAAAACTTTTCAAAAAACAAAAATTATCCCAATTTTAACACAGTGTTATATTTGATGACATGCACATAATAAATAAATTTGAATATAATAATAAATTTGAATGGGATGTTATACACAAAGTCTTCTTTTCATTCATACTATTTTATGAACATTTTCTAGTAGTTAAATTTTCTTTGAAGAGCTGAATTTTACTGTGAACTACCAGTAATTTTTTTTTCTCCATTGCTTTTTTAAAAAGGAAGCTTACTTTTTAGAAAATCAATTAATTTAGCACAGCTGGGTGCCAGTGGCTCATTCCTATAATACTAGCTACTCAGGAAGCTGAGATCAGGAGATCAAGTTTGAAGCTGGGGCAAATAGTTCAAGAGAGCTATCTTGGAAAAAACCCTTCACAAAAAAGGGGAAGGTAGAGTGGCTCAAGGTGTAGGCCCTGAGTTCAAGAGTACTGTTTAAAGAAAAAATTTAGCACATGATAAAATCCTGAGCTAAAGAGTGAGGTGGAAGAAGAAGAAAGCAAGCTCTTCCTACTCAGAGTGAGAGGTACCTTTGCAGATGTAGGAAGCAGGAAAGGAGAGAGGATTTGGGTAGAGATGTGAATAAATAGAATTTCCGTATAATTTCTTTATACGGACTAAATACATGGACTAAATACATGATACTACCTGAGTGCTGGTGACTCGTGCCTGTAATCCTAACTACTTGGGAGGTTAAATCAGGAGGATTGAGTTTTGAGGTCAGCCCAGACAAATAGTTTGTGAGACCCCCATCTCCAAAATGTAAGAACAAAATGGGCTGAACGTGTGGGACAAGCAGTAGAGTGCCTACTCTGCAAGGGTGAAATCCTGAGTTCAAATCCTAGTTAGTCCCACCAAAACAAAATACAAAAAACATAATGCTTTAGGGTTAATCCTTAAACATGAATTTTTATGTTTCTCTGATTGTTTCTTTTTTTTTCCCTTTGTTTTTTGATTGTTTCTTTAACATCACTTCATGATGATACTTACCTGGTAGGGGGAGATGCCATGATCACGAAGGTGGTTTTCCCAGAGCAAGGCTTATCCATTGCATTACGGATATGCTGACCCCTACAATTTCCCCAAATGTGGGAAACTTGACCATGTAATTTGTGGTAGTGGGGGATTGCATTTGCACTCTCCCCTGACAAAAAAATAAAATAAAATCAATTCATGAATAATACTGGTCTTGCTATAGATCACCCTTCAGAAAGTTTGGCTAATTTATATTTCTATCAGCAGTGCATAAAGGTAGCCAAAATGTGAAAACTTGGATGGTGAATGTTTTAAGGTGTGAATAGGTGTAAACAGCATTGAAACTATACATGAAGGAAAAAAATTGCTGATAGTGATGGATTAATATTTAACAATTGCTGCTGAATTTCATTTTGATTTTTGAAGGTAATTTCTAAAAAATGGATTAAAAATTATTTTAACAACTTTATTGATACAGAATTCACATGCCATACAATTTGTACCATTCAGTTTACCAATGGGCTTCATACAATTTACTCATTTACCCATATAATTCAGTGGTTTTTATCATGTATTCACAGTTGCATGAAACCACATCCCACCATTGATTTTAGGGAGGTTCTTTTTCATTATTTTGCTCAAGATTTTTACATGAGAAATTTCAACATCTCAGAGGAGTTTGGCTCTTCTTCACTTCTTTCAAAAACATAGCTTTAAGCCAGGTGCTGGTGGCTCATGCCTGTAATCCTGGCTACTCAGGATGCAGAATTCAGAATGATTGAGGTTTGAAGCCAGCCGCAGGCAATAGTTCATGAGACCCTATCTTGAAAAACCCATCACAAAAAAAGGGCTTGTGGAGTGGTTTAAGCTGTTAAGAGTGCCTACCTAGCAAGAGTGAGGCCCTGAATTCATACCCCAGTGCTGCCAAAAAACAAACAAACAAAAAATATAGCTTCAAATAGTTGAGGCCTTGATATATGCTAAGTAATGAATAAGCTATTTGGTGAAAAGTTTCAAATGCTATTAATAGTTACAAAAACAAAAAAGTGCAATCTTGAAGAACTTTGAAATTAAAATTTTAGTATAAGGAACTATTAGAAAAAAATTCTTTGTATCTTTTTATGTAGCTAAAAGACCAGCTTCAGGACAAAGCTTGGTTTCTGTTATGCCAGCTCAGAAAATCACAAAGCCTGCTGCGAAATATGGAGTACCTTTAGCATATAAGAAACATGGAGATAAAAAATTACTTGAAAACAAACCACTCCAAAAACATAAACAGGTATGATCATGTTACAAATTGTGACAAATGTCAAATTCAACTTAACCTTATTTTATTGCAGCTCAATAGAGTTATCTTGATATTCAGAGAATTTTTTTTTCATTTTTCTTTTATTATTCATATGTGCATACAAGGCTTGGTTCATTTCTCCCCCCTGCCCCCACCCCCTCCCTTAGAATTTTTTAAATTAAGTTATTAGGGAACATTGTTATCTGCTTCTTCATCAGTCTTCTAAAACTAAGGAGCCTTATAGAAGTCAAACAGTAACACTAAGTAGATATATTAAGTAAATAATTGGTGTAATAAAAAGTGACATATGTGAAATAACTTGAACAACTTAAGTAGAACCATTTGATTTTGTGCATGAAAGACAAATACTTGTGATATACTGGTAACACTCTGAGAGAATTTTGTATTTGATAATTCACAAATAAATCAAAATCATAGAGCTGGAAAGAATGTGATCACCTTGTCTACTCTCCTATTTCAGGTAAAAAATAAGGCCTGTAGCATTTAAGTGCCATGCCCAACGACACAGTGCTAGTTGCAGGGAATTTGACACTTTTTTCATGTCAGTATTTGCATACTTTGATATATGGGACCTTTTTGTTTTGGACAACATATGCATGGATATACATATATGTACATACATATTTAGACACATATGTAAATATACTGCAATAAGATAAACTTTATAATAGGGATGATCAATTATTTTGGTGAAATCTATCATAAAATAGTTCAAAATAATTAGGGTCAATCATTCTTCAAATAAGTTATACAAAGTAAGCATAGAATCAGAAGACAAACTACTCAATAATCTGTACAGGGAAAATTTAACATGAATAATGTTAACTAGTTTTTAGGGGAATATAAAGGATATATTATAGTTATCTACAGGAAGTAACTGTTATTCCTAGTACTGTGACAGAGTTCCTAGAAAAAGAACAAAATTTTGAAGCGCCCCCAATCCTATTGTTAAGGCTGAGCTTCAGACCTTCTTGGTGAGGCTATGACAGTAGCCTGTTTGATGATGGAATTCACTGAGGTTCCACAGTCTGAAGCTGGCAAATACGAATTAATGAAAACCACCCTGGAACTAATGAAAACCTCTGGTCAGTTGCCTGAGGTATTAGTAAAATGTACTGGAAGCCACCTGGGGAGCCAGCAAACTTACGGGGAAGCCTACTGGGCACAGCTGGCATTTGCTTGGTGCTGCTGAGCTTCTTGGGAAGCCAGCTGGAGTGCCAGCAGAACTCTGGGAAGCTGTTCTTAGAGGAGAGGTACTACCAAAATTCACAGGAAAGCTGACAGGGGTACTGGCAGAACCTCGTACAAGCTGCCTGCTGGTGCCACATGCTGCAGTAACAAGGAGAAAGGAAGCTCTTTCCCTGTGCAATGTCCATCTTACATCATCAGCTGACAAAGCCTAACAAGCAAAGATGAAGTAAGTTTATGTCCAGCTCTAGTAACACAAATGGAACAGTGAAGAAGGGCAATGTAACTGGCACACTAGCTTTGTATTTTGCTTACTTGTTTAAATGGAGAGGTTTCCTTAAAATTATCATGATATAAAGATATAAAAAAACTCAGCATATTATTTCCATAGTGAAATGCCACCTATGCACACATATACATACAGTACAAACTCTAAGAAATCAGAATAAACTATTGCCACAGTTCCTTGCTAAAATCATCTCCTCTTCCAAATATAAGGAAAAAGTCTTGAATTGTAAGGAAAATGACAGCGTTGCCTGCTAACAAAAGGTCACAGGCTTTACATTGGATCACAGCCACTTGAACAAGAATAACAGAAAATCCCAAAGCAGAAACAGCAATCCCAGTCATGAAGAAATATGCCAGCTCATGACAGGCACTGATGGCAGCTTTGGCAATGAGATGGGGGATGGGAGAGAGGATGTGGAAAACCAGGGCGAACAGGGCCAGTAGACGCCATAATCCTCCAAGGCACATCCCAGCATAAGAAAAGTCCAGTGGCCCCACTGAAGGACAATGCCATAAGATCTTTAACACCTGCCACAAGAGTTAGGGCAGCAGCTGCTTCCAGCTTCTGGCCCCTTCCCAGGCCAGGTCCCTGCTTGCTTATTTATTTATTTTTGCTTATTGCATTTATTCAGCCTACCTGGACCAATACTATCATACCCTTTATTTCTCTGTAGTTACCACAAGAAACCTAGGACTACAGGCTTTCCCCTCATCTCTTAGTCTCTAAAATTCTGTAAGACTCAGGTCATATCCTAATCATTCCCCCACCCCAACCTTTCTGATAGTTGGCTCTCATAGCACATTATCAGCAAAACTCCTTGTATGCTAGGCTAGATAAAGATTATCTTCACCTCTTTTGCTCTAGAATTTGGCTTGTCCCTGAACACTTTGTTCTGCTGTGACTCTCTTCCTTGGTGGCTGTTTTCTCTCTAAACCATCAATACTGCTGGATCTAGAGGTAGGATGAAGGAGATGTTTTCCTTCTTAATACCAGACTTTCCCAGCTCCATAACTCTCTCCTACCCCCAGCTTTGATGCTTTTGCTATCAGACTGTGTCACCTGCTACCACTCCTGTAAGAGTCATCTGCAGGCCCTCGTTTTTTAAAAGTTTAACAACTTGACTCACTGTTATCCTTCCCAATATTGACATAATTCTAAGTGATTTCAGTATCCAGAACTCTGATACTTACAATAGACATGGCTTTTATTTTCTTATTCATTTTCATTCAGTTATCTTGTCTCTTGCCTTATCTTAGAACTTTCACGTATGGTCATGTCATTAAGTTTGTCATTATAAATAACAGCAACTTTTCCAAAGTCTCATTTGTAAGCACCCATTCTCTGACATTACTTCCTATTTCTAGCTCATTCCTATAGGAATCTGCCTCCAAAACTTCATTACATTTTAATTCATTAATCTGTACTAGTTTTTTCATTGTCTCTCTCATTGTTTTTGTTTTCCTAATGTGGCTTAAATTCTATAGGCCCTTATTATAATGTTTCCAAAAACTCAACTCTTATTCCTCTATTCTCTTATTGTAACTCACCTGGGAAAAATTTAGTGAATTCTAGCTTTTTACCTTCTTTGTGGAGTGTGACTGAAGGAAACATGACTATTCTGGCTATTGTACCTATAAATTTATAACCAACAGTGTCCAGTTAGTACCTCTGGCCACCTTGTGATAGTTTCTCAGTCCATTGACTTCCCACTTTCCTAGGTGGTTTACTTCTTACTTTCTTGCTCTTCACAAGGACTAATGCTTTCTTCCTACTTCATTTGGAAAACAGAAGGAATTAGAAGAAAATCTTCCCACATTGTATCACTTCTGTCAGTCAGTCATATCTGTTTGTGGATATTCTGCTTTTTTTCCTATTGCTTTGCATACTTTCTATTCCTGTTGAGAGTCAACTCTTAACATTTGTGTACTATGTGTTTTTCTTTCTCTCTGTTTTTTTTTTTTTGCTTGCTAAACAACTTTGTGTTCTCTCCTGTGTCATATTTTTCCCTTCCCTAGTGAATCATGTTAGCAAACAAGTTTTCTGTAGCTTGCCATTTTTGTTTTAAAAACCTGTGTGTATCTGCTTTCAGCTACTTCCCTATGTATATCTGTGTGCCCTTTTACAGCAAACTCGCCCAAAGTATTGTCTAGATTGTATCTGGTTCTCGTCTTATTTTCTATTGAATCCACTATATTCAAGGCTTTTTTTGTCATGGCTGCTATGAAAGAGCTCTTGAAAGAACACCAGTAGCTTTCATATTATTAAATCCAGTGATGTGTTTTCTTCTTTCTTGACCTCAGCTTTGACTCGTTTGGTTCCCTCCTCCTTTAAACATTTCCTTGACTCACGTCCAAAGTATTACATTACATTCTTGTGACTTTCCTCCTGTCTCATTGACTGCTTCTTAGCTTCCTTCATGAGTTCCTTATTTCCTAGACCTTTATTTATTTATTTATTTTTGGCTCAACCAATGGAATTTTATTTTCACACAGTTCTTCAGGCTGCAAGTCCAAGATCAAGGTGTTGACAGGGTTGGTTCCTTCCTTTTTTTTTTTAAGTGGCACTGGGGTTTTAACTTGGGGCCTCACATTTGCTAGGCAGGTGCTCTACCACTTGAGCCACTCTGCCAGCCCTTTTTTGTGATGGTTTTTTTTTTAATTTTTATTGTTTTATTATTCATACGTGCATACAATGCTTGGGTCATTTCTCCCCCCTGCCCCCACCCCCTCCCTTACACCCACTCCACCCCCTCCCTTACACCCACTCCACCCCCTCTATCTCCCCCCCCAACCCCTCGATACCCGGCAGAAACTATTTTGCCCTTATCTCTAATTATGTTGAAGAGAGAGTATAAGCAATAATAGGAAGGAGCAAGGGTTTTTGCTAGTTAAGGATAGCTATACAGGGAGTTGACTCACATTCATTTCCTGTGCATGTGTGTTACCTTCTAGGTTAATTCTTTTTGATCTAACCTTTTCTCTAGTTCCTGGTGCCCTTCTCCTATTGGCCTCAGTTGCTTTTAAAGTATCTGCTTTAGTTTCTTTGCGTTGAGGGCAATAAATGCTAGCTAATTTTTTAGGTGTCTTACCGATCCTCACCCCTCCCTTGTGTGCTCTCGCTTTTATCATGTGCTCAAAGTCCAATGCCCTTACTGTGTTTGCCCTTGATCTAATGTCCGCATATGAGGGAGAACATACGAGTTTTGGTCTTCTGTTTCCCAGACCTTTAAATGCTTCAGTAAAGGACCTAGTCCTTGCATATCTTCCTTCTTATTACTCATACTAGCTTTCTAATTGACAACATCTGCAAGTTGACTCACAAATTTCTTCAGCTTATACTCCTTTCTTGAACTTCAGACTATATTAAACATCTCCAGTTGGAGTCCTAATAGGCATGTCAAAATTACCATATCTAAGTCCATCCCAAATCGTTCTTCCTTATTTCAGTAAATGACAACTGTACATTTGTTCTTGTCAAAAGCTTTGGAGTCATC